CTCTGGCTCGGTCCGTTTGTAACATACCAAGAGCATATTTAAGCTTCGACATCCACCGTTTCTCTCAATCCCTCCCTTATTTCTACAACTCTTTCCAGTCAAAAAAGGCTCAACTTTACTCCAAGCAAATTTAGTTGCTTCAGTCACTAATAGCTTGAGCTTTTGCCTCAATGATATAACGGTCCATCTTATACCTAGGTGCTTATTATTCCATTTCCAGATTTCTTTTTTGTATGTCTTTCTTCCCCTAAATACCACAGCCTTTGCACCCACGGCCCTCAAATTCCTCTTGGACCCGAGCCCCAAAGGTAAATTTTAGTCTCATCCTTCTTCGATTTTGTTTCTATGTTTAGATTAAGGAAAATTTGAAGGACAATGTCTCTTGCATGTTGTTGTTTATGTAGGGATCCTGCAATCAAAGGGTACAAACCTATATCCCTTTTGTTGATTTTGAAAAGGAACAGGAGACAAAATGGAACCCATTGATTTTGAGTCTAATATTGTAATGGTATAAACCTAGATCCCCTTGTTGATTTTGGATAAATGGTGCCATGATTTTATATGTATGGATCCACGGGTCCAGAAATTTGTTGTCTCAAAAAATTTGTTGAATCAAGTGATGGCTGAATCATTTTGGTCCCCAAAAACTTTGGTCTCACTGAAAAATGCTTCAAAAATGTTGGATTTTTTCTGGGAAGCCTGGTCTTTGATCCTATGCATAACCCATATCATAAATTTTTTAGAAGATCAGAAGGGTTACAGTTGCAAATTAAATTAGCTGGGAGTTAAATAATTTACTTGAATTTATAGAGAGATAGTTGAAGATGAATCCCAGGTTATGGAAATATGTGGTTTGTTGATGGCTGAGATGTGGCAAGCAGACGGTTGCGATGTCTTTACACATCGGTCTTTGCGATGGAAAACTGGGGTCGTGGGCTGGTGGCAGTATGCCTAAAACCGAAAAAAGAAAAAAAAAATTGTAGTTGGACTCGTGGACCCATTTCGGGCCGGGTTAGGTCCGACTCCCAAATTCAAAATACCTCTACTCGGCCCAGCCCATCCCGTTACATTTTAAAGCGAGTAGGGCCAGGTTCCTCCAAATTTGGGCTTGGCCCGTGCCTAGCCCTAACTGTCACGCCCCAATCCTGACATATGTCTCGGATCGACATGTGACATTATCAAGTATCCGTATATATAACATACCCTGCCTCCGGGATATGGACAAGGCACAACTCAAGCTTTGAATTGCGTAGTGATTTTCATGTACTTTATGGATGCATCCAACATCCTTTTTAGACTGCCCACATACCCTAAATACGGATCAAGCCATTCGTAGTTCACTATTTGTTAAATTCTAATTTTTTCATAAAATACTTCTACCAGAAAACATTAAGTACCACACTACACATTAACCATAAGCCAAGCAACAGTTATTATCTTGCCATTCACACATACATATGCTTTCCAACACCATTCCACAATCACATCAATCAATAACACATACAACACCCAAAATGTAGGGCTAGAGCAACGCATTTCGGCCGAAAGCCTACATCTTTGAAAAATGGGATTTCAAACCACTCAACGAAATCCAACAACATCGAGTTTCGAACCATTCAACGAAACCAAAATACCAAGCGGGATTCTGGACCACTCAATGAAATATAAACCAAGATATGATTTTGAAGAAGAAGGGATTATGGACCTCTCAACGGAATCGCAAAGTACAATGGATATTGAACCACTCAATGAAATCCAAGGCATGATACGATTTTGGATCACTCAATGGAATCACAAAGCACGAGGGATTCTGGACCACTCAGCGGAATCCAGACGGAGTAGGGAACCGAACCACTCAACGGAACCCCAGCGGAACCCAGTTCCAAATCACTTAACAAAATCGAGCGGAAGTCTAAGAAACATAACAACGGCTCAAAGAAACAAAACATGAATCAAGCTACTCAATTTATAAAGGCTCAATGAAACAAGAAATGAAACAAAGCACAAGTTACACAATTTGGGATGGTCAATGAAATGAGAAATGAAACAGTGAAATGAAATATGAAACAAGCTTCGAAGCAACAAACCCCATAGCAATGTGTTAACGGTCCACTACTAGCCCTCACATTTCATCACATCATACCAATCATGCAAATCAAACCACATTTCAAATATGCACGTCAAATCACATTTCATAAATGTTTTCAATACACAATTAACTCACATTTAATAAAATCAAGTGATATCCACAAAAGACATTAACTATGAAACCAGGATAATAACCATATCACATTTATTAATGTCACTCACTAACCACTGTAGGCCCACTAGACTTCACTTAATCTCTAGTAGTACTAATTTTAGTATTTAAATCGATTCAAGACATGTTGATCAAAAGTCAACTCTCAGTCAATGGTGGTATCCACAACCCTACGTGATTCGATCCGGAATATTTGTCCACGGAATTTTGATCTGTAACTTCCTAAGAGTGTCATTTATCTTCTATCACAATATCCTAAAATTTCGGAATGATCCAACGGTCGGATCTCCGCCAATTGCTAGAATTCGGTGGTGGTCAACAATTAGTTTTACAACTTAAAAATTCAATTCACAAGATCCGTACATCGGATTTCCGATCTGTCAATTTTTAATGTCCTCAAATATTACATCCTATAACACACTAAAGTTTGGTGACGATCCAACGTTCGAATCGTCGTTTGCTACAAAAGTTAAGTGGCGGACCCTAGTGAAACTAGGTTTAAACAATCAAATCACATCAAACGGATATCAAATTTGAAATTGGAGAACTTAAAAGGCATCGTTGGCCTACTAGCTACGTGCCGTTGCATACGGCGGCCATCCTCTCTGACTCCTGGAAAATTCACCTAACTCCAAAAATTACCAAATTTTATATGAATGTAGAGCACAACAAGAGGAAGAACTTTCATACATGGGCTAAAGTCCAATTCAGCCTGAAAACACTTGAAATCACCCTTGATTTGCCAAAAACCCAAAAATGGGTATTCTCGATTTGTCCTTAAAACGAGCTCCAACGCCTCCATCACTGCTTGGGCCTTGTTCTTGAGGTTTAGTGGAGTCTATTAGTGTTGGTGGCTAATGGAGTTAGCTTCAGGTTTGGTGGATCGCCGCCAAGCATCCGTTGCACCCACTGTTTAGATTTCACAAATTCAAGATCAAATTTCATCAATTTTGGGGTGGAATTGGTAGAGGGAGGGTTTTGGAGTGTTTCTCAAGTGATGAATGGCTTCAACTCACCAAAAACCGCTATGAAAGGCGTCAGAAACCATGGAAGCCATTGAGTCGGGTTACGGGTCAAAAAGGGGGTCCAGATTCCCTCATTTTCTCCTCTCTCCTTTCCCTTCCTTGCTCTCTCTTTTGATTGGTCCGCTCCCCCCTTCTATCCCTCCTTTCTCTCATTTTCTTCCCATCACAGCCACACACCTGGCACCATAAATCATTGCTCTAGCAAATCTGGAGCCTTTTAGATGATGGTCAAATGACCATTTTGCCCTCAACTTCGTTTGTTTATAACTCCAAATTACATTCCGTTTACGCTCATGCGTCCATATCGAGCTGTACTATTCGAATATGTAAAGAAATATGAAAAATCATGAAAGTATCAAATACATCCGTGAAGAATTCTGTTTAATACAATAGGGGCAATTTCATCCTTTTATTTATTGAAAAAAATATACGCCGCAAATATGAAAACGTCGAAACTATGAATATGAATAGGAAATACAAGATACGTAATTTTAAATAGTGAAATATGGGGACGGGATTTCACACAAACCATTTAATATTTAATAAAAGCCCAATGGTTTTTCATTAGTCAGATTACTTTCAATCAAATTCACTTTACCAATTATAATTTATATAATACCTAATTGTGTGCCGCTCTTGTTCCTTACATACCCAAGCCAGCTGAAGGCCATCCAACATCAACTTTATAATTTCTGTAAGTTTTCTAATTTAGTGTTAGTTCGTACTTATTTTTAGTATTGTTTGATACATATTTATTGTTAATTTGTTAGGAATTTTTAGTTTTAGTTTTAGTGTTTTATTTATTTTTATTTCTATTATTATTTTTTTAATCTAAAGAGCACTAATTAAAAACAAAGGGGCTGAATAGTGAATACATATAAGGGTCTTTGATAATGGTCTTTAGTAAGGGTCTTTGATAAAAAGCCGAACAATCACACAGTAATGGGTTTTAAACTAAGTTCAGCCTTATTTATTGTTAATTTCTTAGGATTTTTTCATATCTATTTTAGTGTTAGTTTGTGCATATTTATTGTTGATTCGTTAGGATTTTTTTATATTACTTGGATTGTGTTATAATGTTTTTTTTTCTTTTTTTGTTGAAGATTGTGTTACATTGTTAGTTCATACATATTTTTTAGCTACATCAATTGATATAGATTTTTTTTATTAATTGATGTGTAGAAATTAGAAGTATGGAACGATATTACAAGCGAAAATCATCTTCGATTAGTTCGGACAATCATATTCCAAATAGTTCATCTCCAAACTTGGATGGTTCCAATCCTATTTTAAATAGTTTCCCTCAAATTCCAAATAGTTCTGATCCAATTGCAGGTAATTCCACTTCACAACAAAATGAGTTAAAAGTTAATTTGGATAATATTGAGAAAGGCCCTGGAAAGAGAATTCCAATGAAGGATTATCCTCCAAATATTAGAGATGAGGTCTGAAGAGCATATATATTGATGGAGCCTTTTAGAACCAATGATCATAGTTTTCCATTCAGTTTGCATTTGAATGAAAAGCGACGGTTCGTTGATATTTGGTTGAAAGAATTTCATTGGTTGGAATATAGTATATCTAAAGATACTGCATTTTGCTTTTATTGCTATATATTCAATGTCAAATTTGAACAATCAGGCAATGATGTCTTTACTGAGGTAGGCTTTCAAAATTGGAAGCACGCAACAACATGTTTTGAAAAACATGTAGGAATGGTTGGTAGCTTTCACAATAAAGCTATTGAAGCCACTGGTAATCTAATGAATCAAAAGACACATATTGAAACAAATGTGGTCAAACAGTCAGAAGAAGCTCGTATGGCTTATCGCACTTGCTTGAATGCATCAATTGATTGCACTAAGTTTTTGTTGCGACAAGGTCTTTCATTTCGTGATCATGATGAAAGTGACACTTCAAACAACAGAGGTAACTATTTGGAGCTTTTGCAATTCCTTAAGGATCATGATGAGAAAATAAAGGTTGTTATGTTAGATAAAGCTTTGGGAAATCTCAAGCTAATAGCTCCTTCAATTCAAAAAGATCTTGTTCATTCATGTTCTATTGAAACCATTAAAACTATCATAAGTGATATGAAGAATGCTAGGTTCTTTTCTCTATTGGTTGATGAAGCACATGATGTTTGTATAAAGGAGCAAATGGCGGTGGTTTTGTGTTATGTGGACAAAAATGAGAAAGTCATTGAAAGGTTTGTAGGAGTTCAATATGTTCCCGACACCACTTCAAACACACTAAAGGAGTTTATTGATGCGTTCTTTAATTTCAATGAGTTGAGCTTCTCCAATTTACGAGGACAAGGTTACGATGGTGCTAGTAATATGAAAAGTGAGTTCAATGGCCCCAAGACAAAGATTTTGAATGAACAACTTTGTGCATTCTATATTCATTGTTTTGCTCATCAACTCCAATTAACTCTTGTTGCCATAGCAAAGGATAATGTTGATGTTAACACATTTTTCCTATTGGCTAATAATGTGGTAAATAATATTAGAGCTTCATGTAAATGTCTTGATGCACTTAGAGAGATGCAAAAAAAAAGAACTTATGAAAGCTCTTGAAAATGATTCTCTTATGACAGGACAACGCTTAAATCAAAAAACTAGTCTTCAACGTGCCAGAGCTACAAGATGAAATTCATATTATAGTACTTTGATTAGTATGATTTCTATGTTCTCATCCGTGGTCAGTGCTTGAAATGATTGTTGATGATAACACCAATGATAGTGTGGCTAAAGCAAATAGGTTATTGAGAGACATACAAACTTTTGAGTTTGTGTTTCTCCTATTTTTTATGAAATCTATATTGGGAATCACAAATGATTTATCACAAGCATTACAAAAGAATGACCAAGAGATTGTGAATGCAATGGCTTTAGTCAACACATGTAAAGAACAACTACTCTACATAAGGAATGATGAGGGGTTTGATCTTTTGGTTGACAAAGTATCATCATTTTCTGTCGAACATCATATTGAGGTTATTAACATGGATGAGACATATGTAGCTCAATGGAGTTCACGCCATAATACCCACAAAAAGACCAACGGTCATCGTTACAAAGTGGAGCTCTTTTTTGTTGTCATTGATTCCCAACTCACAGAGTTAAATGATCGCTTCAATGAGACAAGTACCGAATTGCTCATATGTTTGGCTAGTTTGAGTCCAAATGATTATTTTGTAGCTTTTGACAAAGAAAAAAGCTATTTCGCCTTGCTCAATTGTACCCTCAAGATTTTACGAAGCAAGACCTATTAGTACTTGAAGATCAACTCGATATTTATATTCATTTATGCGTTCGAGAAGTGACTTTTCTCAGTTGCAAAGCATTAGTGATCTTGCTAAGAAAATGGTGGGAAAAGGGTTGCATCGAGTATTTCAATATGTGTATTTACTTATTGAATTGGCTTTGGTTTTACAGGTTGCAACTACTTCAGTGGAGAGAGCATTTTCTGCCATGAATATCATTAAGAGTCCACTCCGTAACAGAATGGGGGGATCAATGGTTAAATGATAGCTTAGTTATTTACATTGAGAAAAATGCTTTTTTTATTTATTATATTGACAATTAAAACTATCATGACACATTTCAAAGTATGAAATCCCATCGTGGACAAATGTAGTATTTCGAGCTTGTTTAGCCTAAAGATTATGAATGAAAAGTTGTAGTTTGCCATTTATTTGTTCAATGTTATTTTCATCTTTTTTTTTTTTGGGAGCTTCTATATTGGAACCCTATGTTAAAATCTTGAATCCACCACTGCTTGCTGCCTATTTTCTTTTTTTTTTGTTCTCGGTTCTCTTTGAGCTTTGCCCCGTTAATATTATTCTTTATTTAACAAAAATAAAATAAAATCGCTAGCTCATGGAATAGTTTTCCCATTCAATACACACAAATGTTGACACTCTCGAAATGTAATTCATCTAAGATGATTTTTCAAAATTTTTTTTTTAAAAAAAAAAGTGTTTTTAAGAGGGTTTGATAAATGATAAAGGAAAACTAATGAAAAGGACTTCAAATCTTTACATTTTAATAAAAAAACCATCCACTAACTTTATTTAATAATAAGGACAAAAGACTAATAACAAAAAAAAAAAAAAAAAAAAACTTAACAAACCCAACTTGCGTTGGGGCGTTATCCCCCCGCCCCACCCACTTCAAACACTCCACTTTTTTCTCGCACCTTTTTGTCCCATCGTCACCTACATTAATATATATATATATATATATATATATATATATATATTTTGGCTTAGAATAAGAAAAATACTTTGAATTGAATTACATTCTTTTGTTTTATTTTTGTGGTGTTGTTTTCTAATAGTAGTCATGATGACAAGAAACTTTTCATTGTGTCCAGAACACGAGGGTGGTACACTCTATACAAGTTGTGAGATTTTTATGGTAAAAAATTAATGACATAAAAAAAAAAAAAATTCCACCACTTATCAAATAACACGTGGTATACCATTTGTGTCGCGGGCACAAGAAAAAATTTCTCAAGATGACACCCAAGCTTAACAAATTGGATGGAGAGCTACATTTATTATTGTAGGTGTATGAAAAAAAGTGAGGAAATTTTAATTTGGCAATTGAAAATTGCTTTTTAAATATAATTACTAAGAACATAACCTTCTCAAGGTTTTGATCTAAGAGTCACTTCTTGGTTCATTGTTTTCGGCGCAATGGGTGCTTTTACAGGACCAAAAATGGTCTAAGTTTCAAATCTTATGAAACTGAACCAAGAATTACACACTATTTATAAAACTTCACCAATAAGTAGATACTGTTTATGAAACTATACCAATAAGTAGACACTATTTATGAAACTGGACTAATAAGTAGACACTATTATGAAACGAAAACAAGAATTATGCATTATTTCCAAAACTAAACCAATAGGTGGAAATTATTTATGAAACTGGACTATACACTATTTATGAAACTGGAGTAAGAACTAGACAACATTTATGAAACATGACCAAGAACTAGGCATTATTTATGAAAGTTGATCAATAACTAGACACTATTTATGAAACCGGACAAAGAAGGAGACACTATTAATGAAACTGTACTAATTACTATATATTATTTATGAAATTGGACCCAATAACTAGGCATTATTTATAAAACATGATCAAGAACTAGACACTATTTATGAAAGTGGACAAAAAACTAGGCACTATTTATGAAATTGGACCAATAAATAATATGGTACTGTTCAGTTTCATAAATAGTGCAGTTTCATAAATAGTGTTCAGTTTCATAAACAGTGTAAGGTCCCACGCGTGTGCGTTAGGTTTTTTTTATTTTTTTTATTTTTAAATTCATTTTTCATTAAAAATTAAGTTTTTTTTTTTTTTTGTCATTTTTATTAAAATTTAAGGGTTTTTCATTAAAAGTTAATTCTTTTTCATTAAATAAAGTTATAGCATGGTTTTTTTATTAAAATAAACTTAGCCCAAACTCTTTTCATGAAAGTTTCCAAATGATAATAGCTCCCATTAAGTGCAACACAAGATTTAAGTGTGCTTTCGTTACATATCAATTCATTTTATGTTAGTTTGCAATTAATCTGTATCAATGATCATGTCATATTGGAGGTTGAATGTGATTTTATATGTGACTGATCGTGTGCAATTCTCTCCAGATCAAATCATGTGATTTCTTATGTTGAGATTAATCACAAGACATTATTTGCTCATATTTGATATCATACCCGAATCTCCATCATACATGCACTTGTGGGGCGGAGCTAGTACTCGTAATTCGGGGCAGGTACATGGTGGGTCTAAAATTTCAAAACACAAAACAAGGCAGGACGATGTAGGTCCAAAAATATAAGCAAACGGGCCCACAATCCGGTCGATTTCTAGTTTGGGATAATTGGATAGATTTGATGATTAATCAAATCCTATACTCTCTACCGTTGGATTGGAAGTTTTTCCTCGAAGACTTAGACAGACTGAGTCATTCAGTCTCCCCTTCTCCCTTCATTCACAACTTGAGTTGGAGTTAAGTCTTTGACAGCAGCGGCAACCATCTATCTACTACCACTATCTCCAACTCTTGACTCCTGACTTCGTCTTCATTTCCCTCTTTTTGGCGAATTGCGAGACCACCATTGCCATCATCTCTTCCATTAAATGAGCACTCTTCACTATGCTTTGAAAAAGAAAAAGAAAAAAAAAACATTTTTTTAGAAGCATGCATGGCAGACACTACTTCTGCTTTTTTTATGCTTTTCTATTGTCATTGACATTAGTTTTTAAAAAGAAAACACTTTTTTTTCTTACCAACACATTTAATATTCTAGATTTTTTAATAAGGTCATCTTCAACCGACCTGGCTAAAGGGTTATAGGGCTAAAAATAGCCCGTTTTGACACTAAAATTGTCTCCAACCGAGGGTTAGGCCCTGCTTGTGGACCCCACCAAGCCAAAAATCTCAAAACAGGCCAGAGGGCTGGTCAAGATCAGCCAACCCTCCTAGTCATCATCATCATCTTGTTCCCCTTCAGCTTCGCATACCCTTTCTTTCGTTGGCCCTTCCGATTCCTCGGCTCTCTGAATTAGGGTCTATGAGCTACCCCAATTCTCGATTTCATTTCCCATGGCTTCGATACTTGTCTCCTCCAAATCGTAGAGTAAAAGCATATTCATCGCAAAATTCATATTTTCTAGGTAAAATTCTACTTCCTTTTCTTTCAAATTAGCCAGGAAATTCATTAATTTCGATTAAATTCTCATTTCTAGCTGTAAAATTTTCATTTTTGTATTATAATTACTTAAGTAAAGAAGCAAATCAGCAGTTAACGAATGATTTAACAGCAACCTTAACGGATGTATGAAACTGTCCCAAAATTATGACTTCAGGCACCACTTTAGGATGAAAAAAAACTTCACGTACCAAATGTTGAAAATCAAGAAACTTCAAGGTAGTAAACTGAGATTAACCTTTTTTTTTTTACCAACACATTTAATATTCTAGATTTTTTAAAGGCCATCTCCAACCGACCTGGCTAAAGAGCTATAGGGCTAAAAATAGCCCGTTTTGACACAAAAACCGTCTCTAACTGAAAGCTAGGCCAAAGGGCTTATAGACCCCATCCAACCAAAAATCTCAAAACAGGCCAAAGGGCTGGCCAAGATCAGCCAGCTTTCCTAGTCATCGTCATCATCTTGTTCCTCCTCAGCCTTTCACACCCTTTCTTTCGTCGCCCCTTCCGATTCCTCGACTCTCTAAATTAGGGTTTCTGAGCGGCCCCAATTCTCGATTTCGTTTCCCATGGCTTTGATACTTGTCTCCTCCAAATCGTAGAGTAAAAGCATATTCATTGCAAAATTCGTATTTTCTAGGTAAAATTCTACTTCCTTTTCTTTCAAATTAGCCAGAAAATTCATGAATTTCGATTGAATTCTCATTTCTAGCTGTAAAATTTTCATTTTTGTATTATAATTACTTACGTAAAGAAGCAAACCTACTGCAATTATTAGAAGCATAAACTAAAATATGAAAAGGGATTTTTAAATTTTCTCTGTATTTTCTTGTATTATGATTTGAATTAGATTTACAGAGATGGAATATTGTTAGGCACATATGTGATTTTCAGCTGGGAATGTTTTGCAGGAAGGATGAAGAGTCTTAAGGATTGGATTTCTCCTCAGTTAGTTTCCATGCCCCTGGTTTTGCCTCGGCCATTGTCGGGCAGTGACAATTTCTTTAGAGAGGAATCCTCCAATGAAGAGTTTGATGACCAAGGTAATACCGCCCTTCCGATACTTCATCCATTGTACTTAATGAGTGATTCCTAAGATTGACTGTAAGATGTGCACTTCTTTAGTTTAAGAATTTTGTTTAGTGTAAAAGATACTAAATCCTTAGTTGATGCCAAAAAGTGGAAACCAATATCAATGTACGGGTTGTACATTGTTTGACTACGTGATGTTTTCTAATTTTCAGGTGCTGCTCACTCCAACACATTGGTAACACCACGCATCCATCCTGCCGCATCAAACCTCATTTAATAGTGATCAGGAAAATCAGTCAGGTCCTTCCCTGCAGCATGTTGTAGTTGAAAATTCTGATCACTCTCATAATCGCTCTGGTAAGAAAAAGATGGATCCTTTGGTAAGAATTGACGATCTTCAAGTTGGCTTGGTCTGTCGCAAAACAATGTTCTGGTGGCTAAGGTTCTTTATCGTATTCACCTGGCTACTTTGATACGAGCAGAAGAATCAGATTTACAAAGAGTTAATCTCAGGAGTGACAGAGCTAGAGCAGTGGCAGCAGAACAATCCTTGGATAAAGTCTTTACCTTGTAGGTAGAATTATGCATTGCTAGTTATCAGTTGTGAGTCTTTTATGTTATTCCTTGGGTTATGAAAAGAAATGAAGAAATATTATGAAAGGAAAATTACAATCCTTGGATACTTTTATCATGCATAGTTATGATCAGTTGTAATAGGAGAATTTTAGAAGCAAACTGATACATTAGGTTAGTTATGACCAAAAGAAGAGAAGGTTGGAGATGGTTTTTAAATTGAGGTTGCTGTAGTTTTTAAATTAAAATAATAAATTATGTTTGGCCTACGATCCTCTTGGTTAAAGATGGTTTTTTGTCACATGGCTATGTTTGGTCTATGGCCTTTTAGCCCCTCAGTTGGAGATAGTAAGAAATATGGCCTGGTAATGTCCATTAAAATATTAATTTCTTGAAGGGCTTTAGGGTTAAAACGAGTTTTCTGACTCTTCTTCGGTTGGAGATGGCATAAGCTGCTTTTTTTAAACGCACATAACTCCAAATCATCTCTTAGTTGTGAATCATGCTGAACCTAAAAGAACCAATTTAGAACAATATAATGTAACTAATTTGGTCTTTATTTTGAGATAAAACCAATTAATCCGAACCATGCCCACCCCCATCATGCATTGAACATGATAGCTAGCTACAACCCATGTAGTGTATGTAGTGTGAGTATATATTAAACAAAAATAGAACAAAGTGGATGGTGCATTGTGAATTGTGATGAGAAGTTGGAGGACAAAAAGCCCCATTTGTCTCAATTATGTTCTTATAAAGTCAAAAGCGTGGATACCATTTTCTTTATTGCATTTATAGGGCAGGATTAAGCTAGCAGCTTGGATTGTGACCCCTTTTGCTTAATTTAATATAAGTAGCAGATGAGCATACACTTCGTGTGTTTAAATAATTTTATTTATTAAAAAGTGATTAATTTTTAAAATCTTAATAAAGAGTATAAGATAATGATGATGAGAACGTTTCTCTTACTAAAGACATATTTTTTCTTAATGTTACATTATTACTGTTTTATCCTTTTTATGTAAATATTATGTATCAAAAGTGAGAATAAAATATAAAAAAAATAGAAATATAATTGTCATTTTGTCAAAAGATACATCATTACTGTTTTGTTCTTATATAAATATTGTGTATCAAAAGTAAAGGTAAAATAGGAAAAATAGGGTTAAAAGGTTGACAAAGAAGACTGTAAATATTGTGTATTAAAAGTGTGAGTAAAAGAGGAAAACTAAGAATATGATTGTCATTTTCTCAAAATATACATAATTACTGTTTTATTCTCCTTATATAAATATTGTGAATAAAAGTAAGACTAAAATACCACTTAGTACTACAGCCTAATAGTATTTCTTTTCACTTGTAAATAAGAAGTCTTAAATTTGAATCTCGTGGATGACGAATTCGATACCAAATTAAGCTGTCCATTGTGTGGTTTAGCCGAACTTCCCTCCCTTAGTGTAAAAATATCGATGTATTAAAAAAGTGAGAGTAAGATAGAAAAAATAAGATTAAAAAGTTGACAATGAAGATTTTCTTAATAATAGTATAAATTAACTTGCATTCTACAAAACATATAACATCCTAACCAAAATCACACTTGAGTAGAGTTACACAACCCAAATCACGAGAGATTTTTCAAAATATCGGTATTCAAACTATACTTTACATATCCTAATATAAGTAAAGAAATGGTACTTCCGTTTGTTATAAAAAAATTTAGGTAAACACATAGAACTTAACTTTACACTCAACTTACACTCTCAAGTGAATTTCTTTTTGCTTCAATGCATAATTATTGTCAAGTACGATATGAAATTAACAATAAATCTAAAATTCATCAATAAAAGCACACATAATAATCAAACTATACCATCGCGCATTATCCCACGTTCATTCCGGCCAAAATTCAAAGGCGATCTCATAAAGAAAAACAAATTATTATGATGATTATAAAACCTTGAATCCTCCATCTAAAGTATAAACCAATTATGTGTTTTTGTATTCACATAATTTGTGCCCAAGAAAAAAAAAAAAAGCTTCGTAAAGAAGCCTCTTTGGTAACTAAGGGCTTGTTTGGTATTATTATGCTTTGAAAAAAGGTTACTTCTGCTGTGCTGTGAGAATAAGCAGCAGTGAAATAAAGCAGCAGAGTGTTTGGTAAATTTTTTTGTAAAAATATTTTTCAAAAAAAGAAAAAAACAATATTATAATGTTTGGTAAACTTTTATGAAAAACAGATGTGAAAAAAAAACCGATTTTTCAAAGCTAGCTTTTAGAGCTTCTTAGTTTTAGCTTTTTTTCACCCAAAACTTTGAAAAAAAACTGAAGCTAAATGTTTACCAAACACAAAAATAACTCCCAACTTTTTTTGATACAAATTTTTTTCTGAATCACCTCAATACCAAACCAACCCTAACTAAAATGCTTGTGGGGTTCCTCCACCTCCAAAACTCGGTTATATGAATCTGTGAAGAAGACGAATAGTAAGACAGAAAAAAGGCGGAATGGAAAATTGAGCGTTGCCATTAAATTGGTCAATGTAAAACACTTATTGTAGGGATAAATTTATTTTTTGTGTAATTCTCAATAATATCCAGATATTTCTCGACTAAGATTTCACTTCTTTATGCAATCGTTCATTTTACCCCAGTAATTATTAACGTAGCGATCATTTCAGATAGTATATTTGAGTTTACAAAAATATTTACCGTTAACAAAAAAATAATTGGGTTATAAAGGGTAAGTTGATTGTAGAAAAATGTTATACGAGTTAATTAAATTTTTTTTTATTTGTTTATGACGATAAATGAAATACCCGCTTGAAAACCGGCCATGAAAAAAATTCTAATGGCAAATTAAATATTTACATTGGGTTTGAACTTTATGTACACACGCATTGACTGAAATGCCCTTAACCTGTGCTCACAATTCCAACTTAACCAAGCATGGCATCCCGGTCAATCCATTAAAACCAAGGATACGTTGGGGATTAAGAGAGGCAAATTTTTACAAAGTATTTAAAAAATAAAATAGAAAGTCCAGAAGAAAGCACAAATTAAAAATAAAAATAAAAACTTTTCCATTCCATTTTTTTTGTTAATCCGTGTGAAATTTTCTCACATCACCTGAGATTTAGCGCCCACCGTCACCCGCCATCCCTTCCGTCACCGACGCCAGCTTCTGGAGGTTCAACTTGACAACAGTATCAGCGAAGAGACGCGTGTCCTCCTCGGAATTCCCCTCGGGTACATCGACGACGTACGATTCCAAAACAACGGTCGAGATCCTCCCATCACGGTCAAACCCATTCACGGTAGTGACAGACCGGTAATTCCTGAGGCGGTGCTCGCCCCCGATGATACTGAAACCGGTGACCTGGCGGTCTTCGTCGAGTAAGTCGAGGCGCTCGGTGCTGGTGGCAGCCGGTAGCCCTGAGATAACATTGACGTCCCTGGTGCACCCGACGGTCATTTCAAACCCTTCCTTGACTCTACAGCTCCGGATGAAGTGCTTGTAGGCCTGGGGCTGGTCAAAGCGCCGCACCACCGACCACACGGTGTTGGGCGGCGCGTGCACGCGTTGCGCGAGTAGGGAAGAGCATTTTCCGGGGCCCACGTGATACTTGTGGAACTCGTTTACGAAACTCTTCAACTCGTCGAACTCGTACTGAGTCAAGCCGGAAGGGAGGGTGAGGTGGTGCTGGGTTTCCTCCGCCGCGTCTTGCTCGGCCATTGAGCCCTCGCCTTTCTCCATTCACTCCAGAGAAGATACAGACAGAGGCAGGGGATGTAGTTTTTTTCCCTCGATGGGGATTTTGTAAGATGATAGGGGCAATAAGGTAAATATAGGGGTTTTTATTAGACTGGTGGGGTGAATTTGGGAATAAAAAAATAGTTTTTTAAGGGTATAGAAAAGGTGTCAACTTGATGATGCAGACAGATGGGTTCTTCTTGGTTGATTGACGGTTCTACCTGGCTGAGCTTCAAGCCAAGCTGATTGCACTCCCATTTGGCATTTTATTTGTTTTGATTACTCCTAAGTCCTAAACTCCCAGTAATATTTACTTTAACGAAAAATTACATTTTTACATTAAAAGATCAATTCTGTTACTATTTACTTTACCCTTTATTTTGTCCTTATCATTACTATTTACTTTACCTTTTATTTCGTTTTTATCATTAAAACTCAAAATTTTCAAGTCATTTTTATTAGTTTTCTTTGTTATCTGTTTTCGCGCTTCTCTTTTATTTTTCACGCTCCTTAATTGTTAGTCATCAAATTGATGAATTGAATAATATCAAAGTAAAAATTAACAAGGGTATTAGATGAAAAATGATATGCGAATAATACTACCCTATGATTTATTGGTATGATCGGTTCGACAATAATGTTATGTCTCACTCAGTTAATGGTAAAATTTTTATATAAGATCTAACTGTTGTAAAAACAAACAGGATTTAATTATTGATCTTACATAAAATAAAAGAAATATATAAAATCATATACAAGCAAAGATTGTTTTTGTCAGAACATATATATACATAGATTAGCTACAATACAATACATTAATTTAATACAATTATGGTTTGACGGTCATATATAATTTATACGAATATAATATATATAAGAGAATTTTAACGAAAAATCATATTTTTACATTAAAAAGTCAATCCTGATACTATTCACTTTACCCTTTATTTTGTCATTATCGTTAAAACTCAAAGTTTTCAAATTTTTTTCATTAGTTTTTCTTATATTTAATATCATCACCGTCTCACAATTTATTATAGCTGTCACATCCCGGCTTGGGCCCCCACCACATCTCGGGCTTGACTCCACCATAACACGATATTGTTCGCTTTGGGCCCCGACCATAACCTCACGATTTTGTTTTGGGGAATTCACACGAGAACTTCCCAGGGAGGGCACCCATTCTGGGATTGCCCTCGCGCAAACTTGCTTTACTTTGGAGTTCCAATGGAACCCAAAGTTAGTAAGCTCCTAAAAGGCCTCATGCTAGGTAGAGATGAGAATATACATATAACGTTTACAGGATCCTCATCCTTGGACGATGTGGGATGTTACAATCTACCCATTTAGGGGCCCAACGTCCTCGTCGACACACTTCTGGCCAAGGATTGGCTCAGATACCAAATTTGTCACATCTCGGCCCAGGCCTTCACCACATCCCGAGCTCGACACCACCGTAGCACGATATTGTCCACTTTGGGCCCCAACCACGCCCTCACGGTTTTGTTTTTGGGAACTC